ACCTTAGAATTTTCGTTGTTCAGCTTCACGTTGGTCTACTAACTTCTGTGGGAACTATGTCTCCCATGATCGTTGCAACGACATTCGCACACAATTGTCTAGCCGCCTAGCAGCCATTGCTGTACTGTGGAATACGAGTTACATGGTTGCCTGTCTACGCCACCATGGTTAGGCCGCTGAATAAACCACCATTAGGTAGCCGCCAGTGATCGCCATAGACCGCTTCGTGTGCTTGTAAGTATGTCTGTCCACACTGGTTACGTCTTAATCTTCGGATAATGTGGTGGCTAGGATCTCCTCCTTTGACAAGCATCACAATTTACCCATTGGTCGGTTTCAGATTAGAGACCAATCATCGAGGTTTACTTCAGAGGGGCATCAGGGCAGAACGGAAGGTCGTGCTCGACCACTTTCATTGGACTGTCTGTCACTTATGCTGGCGACTTCCAACCGGTGTCCCATTGGTTTACGTCCCATGACCAATGAGAGTGTCAAGGACGCCAAAACAGCGTTCTCAGCCTCGCTAACTTGAAAGTACCGCACGCGATTTCGAAAATGAACCACGCTAAAAGCTTGGTACAATACGCTAATATGCGTGTAAAAGTGTATAAAAGATAAAATGCATCACACAGTTTGGGGAAGACCGGGCAATGGGGTTGAAGACATAGTGGATAAAAGTTAAGCTGGAAGGGACGGTAAGAATGGAAACGTCTAAGTAGGGAGATAAGAAGATGGGTAAGCTTGAGTAGCCGCATCCAATCTCTCTATCCACCCTGCTGGATGCAGCAGATAAGGCCATGTTGATTATCCTCTGCTGTGGCCAGAGCATCAATAAATTTTTCGCTGAACGATTCATAGTATTGCGTGGGCAGAATACTCTCAGGTTGCCCAGGCTTAGATATCAAAGCGATTAGGGTTCTCAACCAAAGCGCTTGGTTCAAAAACCAGACCGCTAGGCAACGGGTTTGCGATGGGCTACAAGGAGTCCGTTTTAAGGAATAAGGAGTCACCCTTTTTGCAACACCCAACCGGTGTGACCGGGAGGCTGAGTTTGTTTGGCCTCTAACCATTGACCCATCTGGTATGATTGGATCTGAAGTGCAAACTATGCACCACCCAGTATAGCTCAATGGATCACTGAGGCACACAAACCATCGTATCACGTTAACGTCCAGCCTCATTGCAATTAAAACAATGAACTATGATTTATCACGAGTAAAAAGTATGTGCTCGACAAGTCTCGTAGCGTGGTTGGAGTAAAAATTAACATCTAAAGGATCGTCGAATAAATAAATCGTTATTTCAAGTGTCCACCGAGTTAAATGTACTGCTGCATGACGATAGTTTGAGGTGGGAATTGGATGTGCACGAAAAATAGTATAGAGAGCTGTTATCGTTCAGTAAGTGCGTGAGTGGTGCTACGACAGACCGAATGTACTACTCCAGATTTCACTCAACTCTTGTGAATGTGACCTGTTCCTTAGTTTGTGGTTGATTTCAACCACCTGCCGACAGAAGTATATTCGCGCAAGATCAACAGGTTCGCCTTGGAACTTTGCATCTAACCAACTCATCTGTAGGTCTTCAGTTCGATAACCTCGAAGCCGTTCACTGCTTTAGCTCACGTTGCGCGTTATATGCTATAGCGGTTAGTGCATCTCCCTTCAACTAACCCTGAAGAAGAATTTAACGTGATCCAGCTGGATTTTTCGAAGGTTTCCGATCTCCTAGACCATTGGATACTACTTTCCAAGCTCCAGTGTTGCTGGATCGGCGACTCTCTGCTAAGCTGGATTGTCAACTTTCTACTTCAACGGCAATTAGTTGTCAGCGTTCGGAGCTCTTTATCGGATCTCACACAACTCGAGGGTGGTGCACCGCAGGGCTTAGTGCTAGGTGTACCTTTGTTTTTGGTGTTTATTAATGACGTTGCACAGACAATCGCTTCAAACTTCTTAAAATTTGCAGATGATATCAAGATTTGGCATAGGACTCCGGTGAATGCCGACCAGCATCTGCTTCAGAGTGTCTTGGACACAATACAACAATAGTCAAGCCTAAAGTTACTGCCTTTAAACGTGAGTACATGCAAGGTATTGTCCGTACGACTTCAGAGCAGCTACTCATATAGGCTCCGCACCATTGTACTGCAACCGTCTATTGTCGAACGTGAATTGGGTGTGCTGGTTCATGATGCGTTGGGTTGTCCAAGTAATCCGAAAAGGCCTCAAAGACAAGAAACCAACACGTCAGGCTGTTGCTACGGGCGTTCAGACAAATAAGCAGCCCCATATTTCGACGAATGCTCAGTGCGGATGTTCGCCCGCATGTCGAATAAGCAACTCAAACTGGCATCATTGGCTGAAACACGACCTTAATGCACTGGAGCAGCCACAACGCCAGGCACCTAAGAACGTAATGGAAGTGTGCAATCTTTCATACGAAGAGAGGTTGCAACGTTTGGTTGTATTTAGTGGAAGCTCTTGCAGGTTTCGAGGCGACCTGATTATGGCCTACTTGATTCTGCGAGACCCACATCATGTATGCCGCACTTTACTGCAACTCAGCTGCGATACAAACCTGCGAGGCCAATCACTTAAACGTAGAACAGTATAGCTGTCTGGAGTGCCGCAGGAATTTCTTTTCTATTCTTGTATGCTACCCGTGGAATGCTTTCCCAGAATCGGTCGTCTCTACACCGACACTACCAGTAGTTAAAAGACGGTTGGATGATGCAATCATCCACTTACTCTTTGTCACTTAGCACCAAGTCTCCATTCTACACCTGGAGTTTACCATGGAATTATTTGATGTTAATTGTGGGTGCTGTGAATCTAAGCGGATTGAAGAACTACAGCGGAGCTGGTGATAGGTCCTTCTTTTCATATTTAAAGTATTATTTTAGTATTATTATTAACATTATTATTTTGATATCCCCACCAACTTTCCAACGGGACTTTTAAAACTACGCTTCTTAACCCGTATAAATTCATTGCTCATCACTGCATCTCTTTGGCGAGATGTCCATCGGTGTGTCAAGGAACATGTATAGCGACACTCAATCGCACCTCGGCCTCCTGTCATGCTGTCTCAACTTTCACTCTTAGTAACTTTGAGTGCACATTAGAGTGCAATAACGGAAAGTCAACACTGAAAAGGAGAAAACAGAATCGACTAAAGCAACAGAAAATGGAGGTTTATCTTGCTGTTTCTTTTATAGTTGATGTCACCTTCTAATTTTTGAACTGGAGTCTCCTAAACGCACTAGCCAGTCGTTCCCTGCGGCCCATCTGTATGGTGTTGCAGAACCTGCCCCGTTTGGTATCCGTCTTAAGGATCGACTATTGGTCATGTCCAAATCTTTTATCCTATATCAGGTTGCTTGCACCTGTGGTGTAAGATAAATCGGACACACCGCTAGGCGCTTGGCCAAACGGATAGCCGAATATTGTCCAACAGCATTATGGAAACGAACAGTTGTACGTATCAACAGCTCCATGGTGGAACCTTTAATTCAAAGCGGACATCAAATTTTGATCTCCGAAACTTCTAAAGTTTTCTACTCCTCACCAAAACTTTACCCAAAAGGGATTAAAAAACGTCTGTTACTTACTTCCGAGACCATTGCGATCTGCCTAATGCAACCGGAACTGTGCAAACAGAGGACTCCAGTGCAGACGCACTACAGTTGCCCTGGCCCTGATTTTACTTTGAGCGACGCTCAATTCGATCCCAGGCGGTGATCCCATAACACCATGTGCGTTAGTATCTTCATCGATTGGAGAGTTTGATTAACTGATAAAGTAACCGTAACCTAGCTATCTCAGCCTATCGCAATGTAAACCATTTTTCGTATATGTTTTAGCCTGAATAGAATTATCCAAACGAAATTTCTTTTTAGCTGAAAAGCTGTTTTAAATTTTCTTATTGTCAGAAATAATAGTGGTGTCTGAATAGGAAAAAAAGATGAATTATAGGAACGCGGTCACTGTGACCGTCTGCGGGCTTTCTCGGCAGCCCAAATACAACTACTATTTTTCTCAAACTATACAAAATATCAAAGTCAAACTTCACTGTTGGAAAGTACGAGTACAAGTATTAAAAGTCAAACAGTATCTTTAAAATGCTCTTAAAAATGTAGAAACTATGCACATGGAACAACGCTGAGCGGTTAAAATGATCGCTCTGGGCGTTCTATTGTTAACTGAGCCATTAAGGGAATCAACTTGACCTATTGTGCAATCGTTTGTGAAAGTCGGTGAACAGCACGTATCAGGACGTTCTTCGTGTCGAATTTGACATTTTTCCGCTTGCTCGTCTTTTCTGAACAAATTGCTTGTTCCTGTATAACTGAAGTTTCGATAGTAGAAATGTTAGCTAATTAATGGTTGGATTTGGATTAACGGTTCGAATAAGAATTGGCACAGCCACATCACGTCCAGGAAAGCACTGTACAGCTGGTTCATCCTTTCGGGAATAGTAAGCACTGCATACTACGTTTTTCGCTTTTGACCCTAAAGGTAGCAAAGCACGAGCTTGCCACAACAACAGAGTTAGCTTATAACACGATCAGACGATGACAACTCAACAAGTGAAGTCGTAATTCAGGGGACCATCCTCTACTCAGCATGCTGTGAAGGGGATAAGTGTCGCGTTATAGCACGACTAGTTGCCTAAACACTGTGGTTGCAGTTCATAGGAAACGTAGTACCAGCGATTCTTGGAAGACGGAAAGGGCAGTTTGGTGCTATTCCACGTGTATAGTAGCGATATTGTTGGATATAAGGGTGTGGTTGAGAACTCGCTCCAATATTGGACAGTCTGTCGGAGAAAACAGTTGGGGTGTGTCAATCATGCCACCTGATCAGCGGTTCTTGCGCACCAGATTGTTTACTGTCCACATACTATGTGAAACAAAGAGGAAAACGACAACACCCGTCAGAGCAGAGCACAGCGTACACCTTTAACGATGCCATCCACCTTTTCCATTCTTTCTTTAGATACATCAGTTCTGGGAGGAACGAGGACGTTATGTAAAACAAAGAACGACTCGCATCCAACCTCCGAACCGAAAGCATTTGCTTCTGTTCTCCGCAGAGTCAAGCCATCTGCCACCAGATGCCAAATTGAAAGGTACTAACACTTTCGGCTAAAGTGTGCTACGTGCAAGAACGAAAGCTTTCTGTTTGTGGTATGATAATGTCGTATTTTTTGTAGAAGTTGTGGAACAGTTGACTAAGGAGGAACAACTCATAGAGGAGGAAGAGCTTAGGGAACACCAGCTGGCAATGCAAGAACCAGATATCCAAAATCTCACCGAACAACTCCTACAGGCCGGAGTGTCTCTGGCAGATTCTTCTTTGTGCCACCCCACAAATGATAGTCAGTGAGTGGCTGTATTCAACCTGTTTGCTCTAATCCTATGATAGACAGTTTTAAGTGTTGGTCTCATCATTATTTTGACGAAATCACGCAATCTTTTGCAGGTATCGCCTCACGAAAAGCGCCTCTGAACGGAAGAGCCTGGCAGCAAGCGCAGGCTTTGGCCGGAGCAAGATTGAGGATGCGGTGATCGACCGACGTCGACGCAGGCTGAAAGACTTATGGACTGATGAACAACCTCGTCCATTCACACCGATGTACTTCAATATTTGTCGTCCGAATGTGGGCAGATCCACAGAGAATGCTCCGGAACTAGAGGAATACTCTGAGCCCAAAGACGAACACAATGAGTTTACCAGCGATTCAGAAACTCACGTAGAGCAGCGCGAGACCAGAGGTTCATTGAGGAGCAAATCAGAATTATCGTTACAAGGCGAGGATGTACCGTACTTTTTGTCGTAAGCATAAGTATTTAAACTTTATTGTTTGTTGATACTCGATGTCCACCAACTTTTATCGTCACGAATCATAGAACTCCCTAGAGTACGCTAATCTCTACGGCTTGCATTTGCTCAATTTGGAAACCCATGTGCAGAATCGTCCATTGTAACGTTAAGATATCAAAAGAACTGCATTGTAACAACAGTTCATTTGTGGCTGGTCTCATTGTTAAGCGGGTTGCAAAGAACAGTTTCGATTTCACAACTTCGTGTTTGCTTCCCAGATGTGTCAATATTTGTACATTAGCTTCAAAATGAAGGACTATCCTTCCATCATTTATATATCCCCATGAATTTATGTTAATATTCTCATTGAATCAGTGAAAACAACTTAGAGTACTTCAACGGGTCCAACCCGCATGTTGGAATATGCTGCAAATCAGAACGGTAGGGTTTTATTTTCACCGACTCTCGGGTAGCTGAGCTCAGCACCTCATTGCGTGATGGCCAACCACTATCATCGACAGCAGCAATGTTTACAGTGGTTTCGTTGTTAACAGTAAAAAGGCAGAGTTGGAGCAATGGCATAGTGGCCAAGACGAAAGGCGTCAACTAATGTGTCGGATTCCCCTGAAGCTATCTCTGCCTGACGAGTCCAAATCAGGACGAAACCGGTCGGTTGTGGAGTGCGATGTTGGGAGATAGCAGCTCTGCAATTCTCCACATTTGGTGCGGTCCAAATGATTATAATGGCGTAGTTTTGCTTCGAAACAAATCTTGGTCTCAACTGAGGTTATGTTTTGTAACCTAGACACACGGTGAGTATGTCAAAAACCAGAAATAGGAAACCAGTAGTTTGTGTAGGTGATTCACTAACATATCAAAGTAGGTTAATGGGGACAGTGTTACGAATATCAGTTAAGTAAGGAGCCGAAAAAATGCCCTAAGTTTGGCAGGGTAAAGGCTGCTGTAGATCTCGAATTTTATACCATACTAACTGCAACCGATACTTGCAACAGCACCAGTGTTGCGCCTGACAGCAGAAATCATATTCGGTTGAAAATCAATGAGCAACGCCCAAGCCCAAGCGAGCATAACTTGACAGGATTCCAGGTAGGTGAATCCAAGCTTGGGATGAAGTTATCTGTCGATCACCATATGAGGGTACCGTTTGTTGCGCCTCACTATACAAAGTCTATGCCTGAGTCAAAACAAGTGTCTCAAAACTGGTAACAAACAATAGATAACCTACACCATCTGATTCTCGTGATAAAGGGATATAAGCAAGAGTTCGCCTCTGGTCAAAGGTACAGAGCCATTGATCAACATCTTGGGGTCCACTTCACCCTATTTTTCATTGGTTTCAACAGAAAAAGTTCGGTCAGCTATTGCAAATAGATACTTTCCATTGTTCGGATGATCGCGGTTACTTGTAAACAGACTGTCTACTTGGGATTACTTACTTTCTCGCTCATCTCTCTGACAACTAAATCACCACATGGTTGAGGACAACACGCACTTGTGCTCTGTCTCCATCTTAGAACATTCAACCGAAACGGTTTGTTAGGACATTAGCAGTATTCACGAATCCCAGTCTAGAGCGCAGCTGTGGACCGCTACCTCAGTTGATTTTGATTGGCTGTATCCACGGGCACCGCTGATTTTTTGCTTTACCCTGCTGGATTCTACTTTTGCTTTGAGAATACTGTGTTATATCTCGTTTCTCTGTGGGAACTGCGCACCAATACTTTGCTTTTGCTGTAGTTTTCCATCCGTGTGCATTTGGCGGATCTTCTCCGGCTACTGTCGGAGATCTCACTGATTGGCCCAACTGCCGTCTGTGTCCACTGTTTTGGATTTGTCCTACAGCAACCTAGCCGGTGTCTGCCAGACCATCAGCTTGACCGCCAGCGTTTGGATTCAGCATACCATTGCAGATGTTACATCGAACGATTTCCTCAGATCTGACAGTCACAATGGCACGTAGTGCTTGCCCACGGAAAGCTAAGCTCAAAGCTTCCGAAATAAATGTTAGTTGTGGTCTTGACAGCTGTGTAAAACTTGTGCGATTTGGAATAGAATGCAGAAAGTGCCGAAAATACTTCCATTCTTGATGTGCTCGCCTTAGACTCATCCAGCTAAAAAAACTCAATAGTACGAAGGATTCTCTCTGGTTCTGCAATGAGTGCAGGTCTCTTCCACTCGTCAGATGTATAACTGTGTTGGCGCAGAAGTGCGATAGGCTGACAAAGATTGTAGAGCAGGCAGCAGTCATGAAAGCTGTCCCACATGAACCAGGCAAATCAGTGTCTCGCATTTGATGCTCAAAAGCAAGCTCCAATTCAGAACAGTGAAAGAGTAACCATTCTGAGTTAGTCATCCCGACACTAGCGGCTGCTAATAAAGATGCTTTCGCCACACATTCTTCAAAAGAATCACTTGCCACCCCAAACACTGTTAGAGCACTGACAATCTACGCATCCGTGTTGCAACCTATATGACGAGGCTCCTCCCACCGTAACCCCTCCCGCTGCCAAACAAGTTACTTCTACCAATACCACCACGGGACTCACGACCCCATCATTTGTCCAACTGAGGAAAGCAGCCATTTGTCCCTCCAAAAAAGGGAACATGAAACCTTACCATACTTCGCTGACTGTGCTCTAATGTGGCTGAATCCGGGGCGAACTCCATCAAAGATAAGATACCAGCCGACAAAAACAGTGGGACTCCCTGTGTCAACTAATAGGAGCTCAAGCTAAACCAGTCACTATGATGCGTCTCGTCCGTCACCCAACCTTCGTACACTAGGGTGAATCGCGGTTACTCCAGGTAACACTACAGTCAGGTAATGATGCAGAGGCAGTTCTCTTGTCAGCCACTCGCTATCCTACCACCACATGCACTGTTCGAATTTTTCCAGATCTTTCTTGGAACAAACGCCAGAACCACAACCAACATCCGGATGACTTAAGTAAACAACAAGACGGCAAATCTGTCCTTGTTCACGGTGTCCTTGAACTCCAGACATTAAGGGAGCTAGCGGCCAAAGCGCATGAATGGGATGAATGTCAATGAACAATGAACAATGATTTATAACGGGTAAAAAAGCAGGTGCTTGACATGTCCCGTAGGGTGTATAGCGTGACAAAAAAGATAGAGAAGGGATAATGGAGTCGTCAGTTCGGGCGCTTAAAAATATAACTGCACTGTCGTATAAAGGGAGTTTGAATTGCGAATGTACGCAAACAAAGCAATAAGGGGAGTGGTTATTGATCACATAATAGGCGATAAAAATAAGAAATGATAGCAAGGACAACGCTTACTCGTGTGCAACTATCTTGGGTCGACGGGATACAGAAATCCAGTTTCTATAGTAGTAGCGTTTATCAAATTTCGTGCAAGGCGTTTGGGGTGACTCATTCTCGAGTAGGGTTATGGCACTGTCCCATGTCTGTTGTGCATTAGTGCCAGCATCTGGTGGTCATGAGCTATAGCACGTAGTGTAAATGTGACAGGGTATCGTCAAAGCGTTTTTTGAAAAGGGATAGGGTAGGTGCGCTAATTACATGTTCCGGGAGGGCGTTCCAAGGCTGTGACACTCGAAGGGAAAAATAGTTCCGCCGACATTCCATGCGGCAGTACTGCGTGACTAACCTAAACTGGTGACCTCTTAGCGAGGTGTTTTGACTGAGTATTAGAAGGGAATGGCATGGGTGGTTGGGGTTTCTCAGGATCTGATACACCATTGTGAGATCGCCCCTTAGAAGCCGATAACGTCCACTGTATATTTTGAGGGTCTTCAGCCTGAGTGGGTAGGGGAGGTTGGCCAAACCTCTGACGCTCTTCGTTGCCCTACGTTGTGCAGTATCGAGCGCGATGAGATGGTGCTTGAGCCACGGTTGCCACGCTTAGATAGCGTATTCCGTGTGCGGCCTCACGTACACACTAAGCGTTAATGGAAAGATCGAAAAGTCACACTTCCCGGTGGCTCTGCGAAAAAGGCCGAGGTACTGGTTCGCTTTCTTAGCTGCCTTTTCAGTCTGCCTGGAACAACCGAGGTCATCTTGAACTATCACGCCGAGATTGCACTCGTGAGAAGCCCGCTGTTGAATTTGTGGTCCTAGGCGGTACTTTTGCATATTCTTGTGCCGTATACTGAGGACTTTGCACTTGGTGACGTTGAGATGCAGCATGTTCTCGATGAACCATGTGCACGTTTTGTCCAGGTCCTCCTGTAAGACTGCGTGATCCTCCACTGCAGCTTTAGTACGCCATACCTTTAGGTCATCAGCAAATCGCAAACAGTTAGAAGATAGCACACTCGCGAGATCATTTATGAAAATCGGGAACAGTTGGGGTCCAATTACCGAGCCTTGAGGTACGCCGCACTGAACTTCGATGGATTCCGACAGGTTGCTTCTAATCCGCACATTCAGGTGACGTTGCACGAGAAAGTCTCCTATCCAGCCCAGAACAGGATAGTCGATTCCATATTTCTGGAGTTTGTGGAGGAGAATGCGATGGTCTATGTGGTCGAATGCCTTTGAGAAATCCAAGTAGGTCGCGTCGACTTCTGCACCAGCGTCCACAGATTCCGTCCAGTTTGCACGAGCAATCAAGATATTAGTTGTACAGGAGCGATTTTGGCAAAATCTATGCTTTTCCGGAACAAGAATTTTTTGTTCTCCAGGTACCCCATTAAAGCCTCAGCTACGATGGACTCCATAACCTTGGAGATCACAGGATTTAGTGTTATCGGGAGATAATTTGTTGGTTCAGCACGGCTACCACTTTTGTAGATAGGCGTGATGATTCCGTGCCTCCACATCGTGGGGACGTGCATCTCGTTCAGACATCGTTGAAAGAAAATTGCTAATGGTCCTGCCAAACTCATGGCAGCAACTTTCAACGCCTTCGGACGAATGCCGTCCGCACCCAGGGAGCTGAACTCGCCTAGAGACATCATCCTCTTCAGTACAGCTGCGGAGGTGAACGAGATGTGATTAAGCCCTGAT